GATTGGCTAAATCTATGGCAGCCATCTTGGATGATAAGATGTGTATAAGCGACCTATTTAGGCCTTCATCAAGGTACATGAAAAAATAGCAAAACGTAGGCACACATAACCACTGTTACATGGTAGGAGTTTAGTAATAAACAGTGCGGAATATAATGAGAGTAATTAAAGATTGCAGAAAGTTGGTTTTATTGTTTCTAGTGGGATTTTCCACTATCAAGAGGAGCGTCGTACCGCTGATACTCGCTGAAGCCATACAATAAAATCAATGTTATTGGCTTAACCTCTATAAATGTTATGTTCTCCACAGCTCTATGGTTTTATGAATTAATTTGATAAGACAAGCTTTTCACAGTTTCTGTGAGCTCTAAAGCTAAAGAAACCCAAACCTGAAAATGTAGTCTTACAATTCATTGAATTTAAGATAAGGTAAGATGAGATCAGGTGAGATATGAGATGGGATGAGACATACTAATTTTATAATCACAAGGCGACAGCAATTATGGTTGCCTGATATGCATTAATATGATTGATAATGTTGGTTCCCACAGGCCGAGGTAAATGCACTTGCGGTGAATGTCAATGTGCAGACGGGTTTACCGGCATCCATTGTGAATGTCCCACAAGTAACTCCCAGTGTATTGCGTCAACGGGTGAGATATGTAATGATGTAGGGACGTGCGAATGTGGCAAATGTACATGTGATGTAGATTCAATATACTACGGTGACACCTGTGAAGATTGTGATGTAAGTATATTTAATGTTACTTCTAAACATCGGGGAACATACTGCTTCGACGATCGTGGGCCGACATGATTCTACGGAGAACGCAACGCGACGAGGCGCACGCAACAAATCGTTATTTAGCCACGATTCGCTCAGACCATGGAGGTATTATTACCTCCATGCTCAGACTGTCATCGATAATCAGCATGAGACGGCGTTGCGTCGTCCGGACTCATAGTGAGAGGAGACGGATTAGCCGGCAACGCAGTGACTGACTTTAAGAGCATTAAAGGCGCTCGACTGAAATTCAAATTCTGAAATTTGTATATATTTTTTTATTTTTAATTTTCCTGTTTTATGACCTTTTGAAGCACCATTTGAAAGTAATCAATTTTACTTTTCCTTTTGGTAATCCTGACATGCTGGGGTATAATTTTCTTGTTTCTCATGTATTTTTCGTATTTCTCATTTGTATATTTTAATGATTTTTTTGATGACGAAATAAATGATATGAAATTAAACATCATCATATTTTATACTGTACACATAACGGCTTGTCTTCATAGGCTTGCCAGAATGAGTGTGATCGGAACATTGATTGTGTACTTTGTGAGATTTTTGGTTTAGGACCACAGTCTCCCACAAACTGTTTAAACTGCCCGCAAGTCATCATACCAGTTTCTGAAGACTTTACCGGTAAGCTAGCTTAGAAAATGGTTTTATCTAGTGTCAATTCCTCTTCATAATGTATTCACTCAACGTTCACCCCGTACCTGTGGTCACAAATTTAATGCAAATGGCCTCAATGCTGTGGCGTTCCCACACACTTGGGGGACTAACTTAAAATAAGAAACAATTTGCCTTTCCTTTCCAATAATACTAACTGGTTTATTGAGTTCAAACCAGTGGTGGCGCCAGGACCTGCCAGACGGAGGGGCTATGCCCCGACGGGGGGAGGGTGCTAGTGGAGCGAATTGAGTCTCACTTAGATGGGGGCCAGGGGGCCGCCTAGGACCCCGTGGGGGTCCAGGGGAGAAGCCTCCTGGAAGCCATGGATATTTGATGAATTACGGCGAATTTTTATTACTTATTTGATAAACATCGAGTTACTATAATATGACTTCAAGTAGGCTATGCTTTCTAATCCAAATGAGCATTTGTCATAACAAAATGCAAATTATTTTTAATTAGTCTCATTGAATTATTATTATTATTATTATTATTATTATTATTATTATTATTAGGCCTATTATTATTATTATTATTATTATTATTATTATTATTATTATTATTGTTGTTGTTGTTGTATGATGAAAACGAATATTACATGTAAATATTTTTTTTATTTGTTTGTTCCCCGTCTTCCCGACATGGGGGGGGGGCTATAGCCCCAACCCCCCTCTGGCGCCACCACTGGTTCAAACGTACAATATAACTCTGTAAACACTTGAACGAGCGTTCGTCGCATTCTCGTCTATCTTCCTTCTCACTCATAGAGCTATTAAACAACTAGAGTGCCGACAAGATGGCGCAGCAATGCAGAATTATGTATGTGTGCCATCCAAGATGGCCGTCGTAGTAAAGCGCCACCGTCAGGCTTAGTATACATATCATTACATATTAATAAGCCCTCAGACTGACTGTTATTTCATTAATGACAATGAGTAATGGTAATAACAAATTATTAAACTATTGTAGCCAAAACGAGGCCAAGTGGAGCATCTTATTCAAAAATAAAGTACCAAGGAATGAAAATTAAAATCGTGTATATTGCACCAAAACACCGCAACGCTCGAGTTTCCAACATACGGGTAACTAGCTGTACTGAACTTTCTGAGTAAATTGAGGGCGCAATTGCAAACGATGGTGCTTAGCGAAATTTGATTGGCTAAATCTATGGCAGCCATCTTGGATGATACGTACACACAGTTCTGCCTATTTCGAACATCGAATGCATTGCGGTTATACGCTCTCGTATTCTTATTATATCTCCCAAAACTGGAGAGGGCGCTACCCATACAAATAGTAAACAGTGCAGAGCCCAGACGTATCGTCACATTGTTATTTTGCAATGTGTTTTTGTGTTACTGGGCGAAATGATCCACGTTGGTGTGTTGAATGTTTTTTTTTCGATGTGAAACGCACCAAGAATAACCTACAAATCCGAACTATGTAATTTTTATCAATGGACCAGGATTTCAGTGTGGACCACCAATGGGTTTGGCCTTTGCCATGTCTTATAACATAGAGGTGTAACTGTGGTCCGTGGGTACTGTCGGATGGTAATTTATGCAAACGTTCTTCTTTGCATGATTTCCATTAATATATTAACCATCGCATTATACTTGTTTAGTTTAATGTCTTAAATTGAGTAAATATGTTTTTTTCTATTTGTACTGTTTACAATGTTTACGAAGATACATCCTGCGGAGGACTTCAGTATCAATTAGTTCTCGAAAGATGTATTTGGTTCTTTAAAGTGGACATGAGTCAATTGTGTACTCTACGACTTATCGTCCTTAACCGAGAAGACTTGTTCCAACACCAGAACCATAGGCGAGAGTGCCGGCTCGAACTAGCGCTGATATTACAGCTGTAGGTTGCGGCACCCTCTGCCACCCGTCTAATTAAATCCTGATCGCCGACTGGATGGAGCATTCAGTTCCTACACGACTAGTTCTTATTATTGGTGGACCGCAAAACTTTCAAAGTCTTCATAATTCTGTTTGGGAAAAATTAAAATTATTCTCACACAAAGTGTTAAAGGTAAATATTAATTTTCACAGACAATGTAACACGTGTGTGCTCACTTACGGACCACGAAGGCTGTTCAGTTTCTTTCCGCTTGGAAAACAATGGCACATTTCAAGTCATATTTGCTTACACAAACAGAGGTAAGAATCCAATTCAAAAACTCCTTTGTTTCTAATACAAAATACACTTCTTTTGTCATTGCTTTCGTACAGTATTCATTGAAGTAATTTGTAATTTTCTCTGTAACTTTTATAATTATGAATAACTCTGTATTGTTCAATATGGCCTGTTTTCTGTTTATTTATTTAGTCAATATAATATATTCTATAATATCCTATACTTTGTTGTATATTCTGCAGTATAAATTTAAATTTATCTTGCTATAGTACTAGTAGCATCTGACTTAAGAGTTGTTATGTAATTTTTGCTAGAATTATTTTTCTTCTGTGGCGAATCGAAGAATTCGTAATAGATGGAACTAAATCAGACATAAATTTGAATATAATTTTTTCTTTTTTCTTCATTTTTTTTTATTTAGAAAAATTTATTAGCAGGAGGAAGGATAGGCGCCTGGCCCTCCTTTATTCCTCCACTGGTTGTGTGTAGTTATTTAAAGTCAAATTTTAATTACTATTAGTTTGTCCCGAGAAGAATTCGGCGAACTGGGTGATAGCTGTTGGAATCATTCTTGGTATATTATTCATTGGTTTGATTTGTTTACTTTGCTGGAAACTGGCAACGTTCATTTACGACAGGAAGGAATACAGTAAATTTCAACGAGAATTACAGGGAGGCAAAAACGCTTCAGTAAGTGTTTTTGATTTTTTATAGTTAACAACATACATGTACAAGAGATACAAGTTTACATTGTGATATAAAACGTCTCTATGCTATATTAGTAATGACCTAAACGAAGATAACCAGTGGCGGATTCAAGGGTGGGAGAGGCCGAGCCAACCGGACTCCCAACTTCTTCAAAATTATCACAAAAAAAATGATGAACAATTAAAATTTTGGGAGTGCCGTTATCGGTCATCCACCATAACCCAACCCCAACTATGGTGGCTGAAGTGGACGGACCCTATATATGATAAACTCTCTCTTAGGCCTCCTTCTATTTCAAATTCAAATAATAGAAATGAAGATTATCATAATTGGGAATGTGGTTTATCATGTCTATGACCACATGTCACCTTTCTAATTATCCTGTCCATGATATAACATCAACCGTCCTACATAGGCCCATATTAATGTCAATACCTACTTATTTTAATAGAATGAGAATGCACTCTACAAGCCACCGATTACCAAAATCAGAAACCCGACGTTTGAAGGCACCCAGTTGGATTCTGCTACAAACTAGCTCTGTTACCGCTTCTAGGCCCACCCTGATGGATACTGGTGCTCCAAGCCTCCCTTACCGCTTCATGGTCCAGGTTAACCACATAATTCTTATGAGCCTTACGACGTTCATTACCAGCAATGACAAGGAAAGATATCAACATGACATCTGGTGGCACAAATTATACTATTATGGTTCAAATTTTGTTGTATAAACGTTATGACACTCACCGATATAGCGA